ACTGCCGTTAAGGCAAGTAAACAAGCCAGTAAACAAGCCAGTAAACAGGCCAGTAAACTGCCTGCAGAAAAAAGAGAAATGTCAGATAGCAGCGATGAAGAAAGTTGGTTCTCTGGTACCAGCAGGATCTCTGTGTCTCAATCCAGTAAAGAGCCGAGGTTTCCCATAGAAGCGTTCAGAACGTTTCTACAACAAACAAAGGATTACGAGGACTGAAATTAGAGAGCTATTTCCCGAATCTAAGAGAGTTTTATTTTTCTGAGGCACTATATCAGACATAAGGAGACATCGGGTTTTACAGACACAGAAATCTTTAGGTTAAAGAAAATAATGACTAAAGCAAGAAAACAATTTCAATGATGCATAGTGGATTTTTAATATTTATTATTATTTTAAGGTATGTTGTTTTTAGCCTATCACCCATTATGGATTCTTTTAAAATAGCATCATTGAATCTAAACGGGGCGAGGGAGGTTGAGAAAGGCAGTTTAGTTTATTAAATGTTGAATCAGAAAAGAATTGACGTCATCTTTTTACAAGAAACACACAGTGATCAGTTACTGGAAACAGACTGGAGTAGAGAATGGAGAGGGGACGTAGTTTTAAGCCACGGCACCTCAAAGAGTGCAGGGGGGGCCTCCTGTTGTCTAAAGCATTTGCCCCACTTACGACAGACATTGAACATGTCATACAAGGAAGATGCCTTCTAGTAAAAACAAAATCTGAGTCTTTTAACATTGTTTTTATAAACATGTACGCTCCAATTGCCAATGCAGAGAAGAAACGATTTTATGATAAAATTGGGGAGAGGTTGGGTGATTGCGGGACAGATGATTATATTTTTGTGGGAGGAGATTTTAATTGTACCGAGAATGAGTTTTTAGATGGCAGCCATGCAGAGCCGCATCCGGCAGCCCAACGCGCTTTGAGGCAGCTGGTCTCGTCTCACGGCCTGGTGGACGTATGGAGGAGGATGCATGCAGGCTCCAGGCAGTACACATGGTCCCATATTAAGGATAATAAAATCTCTTTAGCTCGTTTAGATTGTTTTTATTGTTTTAAACACCATTTTAACGTGTTTAAAAAATGTCAGATTTTGCCAGTGGCTTTCACAGACCATTCTTTGCTTTTAGGGAGTGTTTTTATCAGGAACATTTTACCTAGAAGCGCATACTGGCACTTCAATTCTGCGTTGACGCACGATCAGAGTTTTAGAGGTTTTAATTTATTTTTGGTTTTAGACAAAGGAAAGCTGGATTTAGCTCTCTTAAACAATGGTGGGAATATGGAAAAGTTTAGATCAAACTGCTGAGTCAGCAGCACACTGTCAATGTCACTCGTGACATCGCCGGATCTATCAGAGATCTGGAGATCAGCATTGTGGAATTAGAACGCCTTAGTGACTCCACAGGAAATCGAGAGCATGTTGAAGCTCTCAAATCTAAAAAGCTAGACTTAGCAAACCTGTTGGAGAGTAAAGTCCAAGGCGCGTTGGTCAGGTCCCGGATTCAGAACATCTCGGAGATGGATGCTCCCTCTAGCTTTTTTTTTCAGCTTGGAGAGGAAGCACGGGCAGAGGAAACTGATCCACTCCTTGCTGTCAGACACGGGGCAGCAATTGAGTGAACCAGGGCAGATCAGAGAGAGGGCTGTGAGTTTTTTCCGTTCTCTGTTCTGCAGCGAATTCAAGGAGAACGAGGAACTGTTCGAGGAGTTCTGCAGTGAACTACCTCAGGTCTCTTAAATTTTAATATTTTAAATTCCTCCTGCACAACTTTCCTCCTAACTATCCTTTCTTCCTCTGAACTACTTCCTTCCAGTTCTCGTTTACTTCCTTGTATATCACAAATTCCCTTTCCTTCATCTATTTTATTTCTTCCATGTTCTCTCCCTCTTCCTCTCCTCACTGGCGTCCACCCATCAAAATCCATGTCTTCCTCATCTCCTATCTCCATTTCCAACCGAACCATTCACATTCCAGTTTATGCTCAATCCACCTTTTCCAATTTCGATATGCTATTTGTTTTCTCCTCTCGGCTCCCTCCACTTTTTCCGATTCGAAACCGAACCCCAGCGCCACACCTGGCCATCATCCTCCATCTTCCCCTTTATGGAGCCTCAGGCTGTGGGGAGAGCGACACCTAATGGTGCCACCTGTTACATGTATATGTGACTCTGCAGGTAGTTGAACTGTCAATTATTCCAGGTATGAAAAGTTAGCACCAACATGGCGCCGAGCGACGTACAGGTCACATGCAGTGAGGTCAGCTCCAAAGCTCTATATTTTGCTGGATTTTTTTCTTAAAACCTTGAAAACATTACATTCCTCCCAAATAAAGTCAGAAAAATACATAAAAAGAGCAAAACATGAAACAAATACTATTATTTTTAATTTCTCTTTCTTGATTTTATAATTTTATGCTAATATGATTGATAACTGAAACTGTAATAAGACTTTGTTGTTGTTTTATTACTCAGTTCCAGGTGTTTTATGACCTCAGTGGATCTGTGACCTAAAAACAGAAATTACTCAACAGGCTAAGAAACCGAAAAGGAAACCACCAAAGAGAGGGAAATTCCCTTCATATGAGGAACTTTATAAAGATATAAACTCACAAAGTGACTTATTTGAAGACAGAATTCATGTTTTCATCAAACAGATTTTAAATTATGATCTTTATTTAGTCAGTTTTCTGGTTATTTATCCCGGAATCCAGATCCAAACCAATAATCCCCTATGATCTGTTGCCCCCTAGTGGACATTAGAGGGAATTGCTCCTTTTTCAAACATTTAGTTTCAAAGCTAAAAATTGAAAACAGCTCCATCTAGCGGTCACACAAAGAAATACACAACTTTATGGCTTCTTTAAGAAGGCCAGTCAATAATGTTTTGTATTTTCTGTATCAATAACGGCACAAAAATGATTAAAGTATTTTTTAAACTATTTTCTTATGAATTGTCCACAGTCAGTAGAAAACTGCTGTAAAGTTTTAGAGGTTGAACATAAAAATAAAAGCCAAGACGAAAACTAATAAGTAATTACTTTGGGGAAATTATATTTATTTTTTCAAATGTACAAATACAAATCTGAAAAGTGTGGTGTGCATTTATATTCCAATGCTGTCACTACAGCGCCTCCTGCACCTCCTCCTGCACCAGCTGGTACTTTCAAAACGTTCATTTCCAGGATTCCAACCACAGATGGATGTTGGAGGAATGTGTTGAATGGTCGGTCATCACACACGTCTTCTGGTTCTGAACACAAATAAAGACTTTCTGGGAGGAAATGAAACAGGAGACTGAGGACATTCTGAGGACAGATCTCCCCATGGAGCCTCTTCTGTTTCTGCTGGACATAAACACCAAGGATTTACTCACTAAACATCAATGTTACATATTGTTGCACCTTCTGCTGCTGGTAGCAAGAAAGACAATTAGACTAAACTGGATTAAACCCAGTTCACCAACTGTTGCTGAATGGAGGAAAAACTGAAACATGACATGATGGAGCGTCTGACTGAACAACTAGACATGAAAAAGATAATTAAATATGTAGTTTTAAAAAAACACAAAATTAATTCCTTAGTTTTGAAAATAAATATTCAGTCAGAAAAAATTGTTTTAAAAATCTGACATTTATGAATGTATGAATATCATGGGTAAATTATCACTTTGAAAAATTAAAATGTGTTTTTTCTATGACATGTTACATAAACGAAAATATTAATTATTTTTACCATCAATCACCTTGACAGTCATAGCCAAAAGTAAGTACACCCTCATTATTTCTTGATCTGCTGCTGCAGTTTTGATGTAATGCAAACTGTGGAGCTGGAAAAGAGCAAAAATCAACATTTCAGAGCTTTTGTTCCTGAACCAGAAGCAGCTCTGAGATCAGTTAAGTGAAAATGTGGTGCAGGGGTTTTGTGTGACCCATGTTTGAAGACCTTATTCCTCGTTGTGAGTTCGATTCCCAGACACAGCGACATTTGCCGCATGTCTTCCTCTCTTTCCTGTCAGCCTACTTTTGAATAAAAGCCACTAGAGCCCAGAAACTTCTTGGAAAAAGAAATATATTTAAAAAAAAAGTTTAGTGAAAATGTTTCTGTTACACTAACATCTGGAAAGAGGAAATCCAGGAGATAGTTTCACGTCCAAATGACAGACGTCAACAGGTAAACTTTCTTCTGACTCCCCAAGAACTCTGACCAGTCAGACCAGTCAGACCAGTCTGGGCTCATTTCTCATCATAATACTTTCAGTTTAAACTCACCTGTTCAGGTGTAGCACCAGTTTGGTTCTGCTGCGGTTCTGTTGGGTCTCAGGTTGTTGTTCATATTTTCTTCATCAACTCTTTGGATCATTTGAACAAACTGTAAGTTTGCTTTGTTTCCTACTTGAACTTTGTCCTCAAGACATTTCTTGATTTTCCTACTTTCTGATGTTTGGAGAAAATATTCAATTCTGATTTCAGCTCAAAGTTTAATCTCTTTGAAGGTTAATCTACAGGAATATTAGATCAATGATTATCTGGAATCAAACATGATGAACAGCTGATGTTTCTTTAGTTTCTTCTGTGAACAAACTGTTTTATGTTTGCATTTCCTGGTATCAAACTCTGATCTTCAATGTAAAGTCAGAACCAAGTTTCTTGTTTCTTCCTTTAGAAAAAAATATTTTAAAATATTGATGTTGAAATGTGTTCAATTGATTCAGACTATTAGATAGTTGATAATTAATGCAGCAGATAATCCACTTGTAGAGATTAATAATTAACTAAAATCCTTCCTGTTGTTCAGGTTGAATCAGTGAATGTAAATGTTGCTCCATGTCTCCATCTAGTGGACTGATAGAAGTGCAGCAGCTGATGGCAGCTTCCTCTGCCTCTCTGCTGTCTGATTGCATTCACCTGACACTGATATGAAGCAGAGAAGAAGAGCCAATCAGAGGAGGAGCAGCTGATCTTTTTCCAGCACTAATGATGTAAAGGATGATCAGAGTTGATGTGCAGATGAATGATGTGTGTTTCCTCTGCAGGTGAAGCTAGAAAGTGTGTGTGAGCTGATGTGGATTCAGCAGCATGGATCAGTGTGAGGACAGAGAGGAGGGGGTCCCTCCCTCTAAAACCACTCTGTGTGGGGAAGATGAGAGCCAGAGCAAAGGTCAGAGGTGAGGTCACCATCTCTAACTGTCCACAGCCCTTTTCACACAGCGTTCACTATATCAGGCCAGAACAGACGTGGTGATGAAGCTGCTGCTGCTCCTCTTTGCTGATTAAGTTTTAATCATCATGTTTCTGTCAGGATCCATCAGAGACTCAAACCAGAACCAGAACCAGAACCCAGCTGTGTGTCCTTTAAGAGCAACAGGTCAAAGGGTATTGGCATTTTCTTTAAATCTCCTGGATCTCCACCATCAGAGAGGTGAGATGTTTCTAAAAGCTGTAACTGTAGAAACTGAACCAGTATGAATATCCCAGTTTGTTTTATCTATCTATCTATCTATCTATCTATCTATCTATCTATCTATCTATCTATCTATCTATCTATCTATCTATCTATCTATCTATCTATCTATCTATCTATCTATCTATCTATCTATCTATCTATCTATCTATCTATCTATCTATCTATCTAAAATACACCTGAAATATGGCGATCCCTAGTATGTAATTTCCTTTAATCTTAGCTTTGCATGTGTGTACTCCATGTGTGTTGTTGAAATAGAATTTTATATTAGCACAATACTGCACAGGATAGTTTTGAGACATATGAAATATACTATAGAAAGTTAAAGTACCCTCTACGTTCACATACATTCAGATAAAGATCCAAACTAAAACAACTGCTGACTCTCTGAACTTATATAAATTCTTAGGGAGGATTCTACAGAAAAGACAGGCCTAGAATCTCCATAGACATGGAGTCTGTCTGCCAGGCAATTAACAAATTCCTTAGCATGGTTCAAAAGTTCATTAGGAGCTTTAAACATATTATTTGCATGCAGTGTATATTATAATAGATTTAGAAAACCACTTTAAAATATTTCTGATATTTACAAAAACAGTTTTTCTTTAAGAAGAAACACTTTAGTTCTTAGATCCAAACTTATAGTCATTATTTAGCATTAGATTTTGTTTCAGTTTGTATAGAACACAAAAAACTTTCTAGTTGAATCATTTTGAGGCAGAGATAACATTCCAGATGAACGCTGTAAATCAGGCCGCCAAAGAAGGAAAAACACACCTCCTAATGCATATATTTAAATGAGGGAAATACACATTCTTATAAAATTGTTTGTTTTACATCAGAAGTTCGAATCTCTTTGTGCTGAGTGAGAGATTCCCAAAGCATGCATCTTTTGTTTGTTTTGTTTCTGTTTCCCTTTTTACTCAGTTAATTGTTTCTGTTTTGTCATGTCTTGGACTTTTGATGATCTAGGTGAGATGCTTATTGTAACATTCTTTTTGCATTAATTTTCTCTGGATAAAACTCTGGATATCTGAAGTCTGACGTCGTATGATTGCTGTTTCTCTCTGCACACGTATACAGACAAAAGAATTCGGGCTAAGAGGAATGAATTCACGAGCTAAATCAAGTTATTCCTCTTTTTAATTCTTAACAGTGTGTATTTATGTATATACAAGCATACAAATAGCTCAGAGATAGAGGAAAACAGAATTATTTATTCTCAACAGGATTTCCAGGATACATTATAAAAGCTCTCATTATAACACCCAGTAGAGGACCGCACATTGACACACACCCACATATTACAATCAATCAATTTTATTTCTAAAGCACCTTCATATTGAAAGCAGCTCAAAGTGCTCAGTCCTCCTTATTATCCACATCATCTCAGATCTAATCATCAGAACATGATTGATGTCCCACATTATCCTGAAGACCTGTGTGGACAGAGCCTTCACTTCCACTGTCCCCAAGCTCTGGGACATTGTCTCCACCAGCATCAGATCTGCTGACAGTTTGGACTGTTTAAAGTGCAACATCAACTTTTTTACGTTTACTGACTGATTCTGGTTTTACTGGAATTCATAGACATGTGAATTATATCTGCAGTTTTTAGATGTGCCACTGGTACAAAACACTGAAATGAAATGTCTAAATTACCTCCTTGTGTAGATCAGTTCTCCAGAGCCTTGCTCATGACCTCATTATTCCATTCAGATGTGGTGCAGCAGAGGCACATCTAAAATTTGCAGGACATCGGCCCTTAAGGACTGGAGTTTGAGACTCCTGCTGTGATTCATCTTCCTGTTTCTAACTCCTTTGTATTGTGTTCATGTCATGCTCTGTTTTTCTGATTCAAGTATTTTTAGTGTGAAACTCTTGGTGATTTCCTCTGTGAAAACTGCTGGATGAATATTTCTTGACTTCCTAATTGTTCCTGGTTCCTCCACAGAGTGGACCAGCAGAGCTCAGAGGTTCCCAGTGGTCCATCTGTCCATCAGCATCAAACACAGCTGGACTCCATATTTATGGTTTGTACATGAACAACTTTTCCATGGGTTCTGTTCACATTCATCTCCATGCTGCATTTTGTAGACCAGAGGACCGTCAGTCTGTTCAACATCCATCTGGTGTTTGGCTCCATGATTTCAGTCCCATGTGTCCATCTATTATTCTGTTCCAGCTGCTGGAGGAAAACATTGTCACTTTTATGAAGAAAGAACTGAAGAAGATCCAGAAAGTTCTGAGTCCAGATTACCCAGAATGCTCAGAGAGTCAGATAGAAGATGATGATGAAGTGTTGGAAGGTGAGGAAGAAGAGCAGAGGAGGACCAGCAGAGAGGCAGTGATGAAGATCACACTGAACTTCCTGAGGATGATGAAGCAGGAGGAGCTGGCTGACCGTCTGCAGAGTGAGAGGATTTCTGAAAATATATAATCTCATTGATAAATCACACATTAATTGTTGTCTAAAAGGCAGAATCACATTGATTCAAATTAATTTAAAAATATTTGTTTTTTTGCTTTTTATGTTTTATGCTTATTCAGAACATCTTGCTGCAGTTTGTCAACATCAACTTAAATCTGGTCTGAAGAAGAAGTTCCAGTCTGTGTTTGAGGGGATTGCTAAAGCAGGAAGTCCAACCCTTCTGAACCAGATCTACACAGAGCTCTACATCACAGAGGGAGGGACTGGAGAGGTCAATGATGAACATGAGGTCAGACAGATTGAAACAGCATCCAGGAAACCACACAGACCAGAAACAACAATCAGACAAGAAGACATCTTTAAAGTCCCACCTGGAAGAGATCAACCAATCAGAACAGTGATGACAAAGGGAGTGGCTGGCATTGGGAAAACAGTCCTAACACAGAAGTTCACTCTGGACTGGGCTGAAGACAAAGCCCACCAGAACATCCAGTTCATATTTCCATTCACCTTCAGAGAGCTGAATGTGCTGAAAGAGAAAAAGTTCAGCTTGGTGGAACTTGTTCATCATTTCTTTAGTGAAAGCAAAGAAATCTGCAGCTTTGAACACTTCCAGGTTCTGTTCATCTTTGATGGCTTGGATGAGAGTCGACTTCCACTGGACTTCCACAACAAGGAGATCCTGACTGATGCTACAGAGTCCACCTCAGTGGATGTTCTGCTGACAAACCTCATCAGGGGGAAACTGCTTCCCTCTGCTCTCCTCTGGATAACCACACGACCTGCAGCAGCCAATCAGATCCCACCTCAGTGTGTTGGCATGGTGACAGAGGTCAGAGGGTTCAATGACCCTCAGAAGGAGGAGTACTTCAGGAAGAGATTCAGAGATGAGAAACAGGCCAGCAGGATCATCTCCCACATGAAGACATCACGAAGCCTCCACATCATGTGCCACATCCCAGTCTTCTGCTGGATCACTGCTACAGTTCTGGAGGATGTGTTGGAGACCAGAGAGGGAGGAGAGCTGCCCAGAACCCTGACTGAGATGTACATCCACTTCCTGGTGGTTCAGACCAAAGTGAAGAAGGTCAAGTATGATGGAGGAGCTGAAACAGATCCACACTGGAGTCCAGAGAGCAGGAAGATGATTGAGTCTCTGGGAAAACTGGCTTTTGATCAGCTGCTGAAAGGAAACCTGATCTTTTATGAATCAGACCTGACAGAGTGTGGCATCGATATCAGAGCAGCCTCAGTGTACTCAGGAGTGTTCACACAGATATTTAAAGAGGAAAGAGGTCTGTACCAGGACAAGGTGTTCTGCTTCGTCCATCTGAGTGTTCAGGAGTTTCTGGCTGCTCTTCATGTTCATCTGACCTTCATCAACTCTGGAGTCAACCTGATGGAAGAAAATCAATCATCATATTTATCTAAATTTTTTTCCAAACCAAATATAAAGTCTCTCCATCAGAGAGCTGTTGACCAGGCCTTACAGAGTCCAAATGGACACCTGGACTTGTTCCTCCGTTTCCTCCTGGGACTTTCACTGCAGACCAATCAGAGACTCCTAAAAGGTCTGCTGACAAAGACAGGAAGTGGCTCACAGACCAATCAGGAAACAGTTCAGTACATCAAGAAGAAGATCAGTGAGAATGTGTCTGCAGAGAAAAGCATCAATCTGTTCCACTGTCTGAATGAACTGAATGATCTTTCTTTGGTGAAAGAGATCCAACAGTCCTTGAATTCAGGAAGTCTCTCAACAGATAAACTCACTGCTGCTCAGTGGTCAGCTCTGATTTTCATCTTATTGTCATCAGACAAATATTTGGGTGAGTTTGACCTGAAGAAATACTCAGCTTCAGAAGATGCTCTTCTGAAGCTGCTGCCTGTGGTCAAAGCCTCCAACAAAACTCTGTAAGGACACAGATTGTTACTGCATTTATTTATGATAACATCTGTCAATGATGAGATAAATATTGAGTCATGCTTTATCAGTTTTTTTACTTGTGCATCGTCTCCTCAATGTTGACCTCTGAGTAAAAGAGAGATCAGCTCTCATTGGTGACTATTCATAATGCTACATGTTCAAGTAGTAGAAATTATTTTTTGTATTGAAGCCAACACTAAATTAATGCAGTTCATTATAAAAATGTATCTTTTTCTTGACAGTCTCTTTGCTGGTTGCTGTACTTCAGTCTTTTAAGACTGGAGGCCCAAATATAGAATAAACCATTTCATAGTACATGTATCATAACAATATGGAATATATATATATATATTTTCAATCTGTTCAAAAATAATATTGAACAGATATTATTTGTTCTGGGGACAAAAATCATACATTTTAAGAATCAGTTCATATTTTCCTCCCTGTCTCCTCAGACTGAGTGGCTGTAACCTCTCAGAGAGAAGCTGTGAAGCTCTGTCCTCAGTTCTCAGCTCCCAGTCCTCCAGTCTCAGAGAACTGGACCTGAGTTACAACAACCTGCAGGATTCAGGAGTGAAGCTTCTCTCTGCTGGACTGAAGAGTCCAAACTGCAACCTGGAAACTCTCAGGTAACTCTGGGCCATCCATCCATCCGTCCGTCCGTCCGTTCAGACCTTGGTTTCTACCTCAATGTTGTCATTTTCTCATCATGTGATGAATTGTGTGTCTGCAGCTTATCAGGCTGTTTGGTCTCAGAGGAAGGCTGTGCTTCTCTGGCCTCAGCTCTGACCTCCAACCCCTCCCATCTGAAAGAGTTGGACCTGAGCTACAATCATCCAGGAGACTCAGGAGTGAAGCTGCTGTCGGCTGGACTGAAGGATCCACACTGGAGACTGGAAGCTCTCAGGTATGGAGGAACCTGCTGCAGGAGCAGAGAAGGTCTGATAGAGGAGGAAGAGGGAGAAATGTCTTTAGTCAGTCTGCTGGAAAACATTAAGTTTGTTGAATGTGATGCAGCTTCTCCTTTGTAATGTTTGTATTTCTGGATATTACAGTGAGGCCACAGCAGGTTTTCAGCAGCAGGGCTGTTTAGTGTTTCATTCCTTCATCTGTGTGTGGGAGTGTGGATGGATCAGGTATCCAGGTGTTGATCAGAGTTTAGATTGATTGTATTTTAATGCTGATTATTAAATCAGGTGGAGCTTCCAGAAATGTTTCCTTAGTTTCCTGATGTCCTTTTAGGCTTCAGTGAGTTTCTTCAGGTTGTTACTGAGGGATTTCCTTTCTCCTCTCTGTTGGAGCTTTTCCTGTGTTTGGAGAAATGAGTTGTGCTGCAGCAGCACCAACTGTCCTTCCTACATCCACTGCAGTTTGCAATCCAGATGTTGGACTGTTCCTGTCTCAGTGGAGGACAATGTGTGTCTGAGAGACATGTAATGTCCATGTTTGCTGCTGAAAGAGACTGATGGTCTGACCCCCCTCCTCCTTTCAGGGTGGAGCCTGCTGGAGGCCGATTCTTGACTCCAGGTCTGAGGAAATGTAAGTGTGTTTTTCATCTGATTCATGACAACAAAGCAGCTCACATTCAACCATCTTCAAACTGTCACATCACTCATTCAGGAGTCAAAGTGTCAATAAATGATCAATAACTGCAGCTGGATTGTGTTTGTTCTCCATCAGATTCCTGTCAACTCACCATCGACACAAACACAGTGAACAGAAAACTCAAACTGTCTGAAGACAAAAGGAAGGTGACATTTGTGGAGGAGCTTCAGTCATATCCTGATCATCCAGACAGATTTGATAACTGGCCTCAGCTGCTGTGTAGAACTGGTCTGACTGGTCGCTGTTACTGGGAGGTTGAGTGGAGTGGATATGTTGATATATCAGTGAGTTACAGAAGAATCAGGAGGAAAGGAAACAGCAGAGACTGTTTGTTTGGATATAATGATGATTCCTGGAGTCTGATCTGTTCTGATCGTCATGGTTACTTTGTCAGGCACAATGACATAGAAACTCGTCTCTCCTCCTCCTCTGACTCTAACAGAGTAGCAGTGTATGTGGACTGTCCTGCTGGCATTCTGTCCTTCTACAGAGTCTCCTCTGACTCACTGATCCTCCTCCACACCTTCAACACCACATTCACTGAACCTCTGATTCCTGGATTCTGGTCCAGTTCTTGTTCTTCAGTGTTTCTGAGCTGATTTGAGTCTAAAGAGTCTAAAGTTTTTCCTCCTGTCAGAGAAACTCTCTCACTGTTGAACAGATAGTTCAGTCTCTACAATCTATTTCTTGGTGAAACTCCAACAAGATTCCTTGGAAATTTCTTCTTCTTCCCGTCCTTTAAAGATGGAAGCAGGGATTATTCCAGGATATTCCAGGATTATTCCAGGTTGTTTTTCTGTTTCCAGTCAAAGATTCTTTTAATTTAATGCAGTTTTTCTCTATGTTCTTTAATCAATCTTGGATTCAAATGTTAAATGATCCTTTTGTATTTTTGCTGCAGTTAAACTTCATGTATTTAGTGAACAATAAACATATTTTCTTCTATATTTTATTCATTTGCTTTTCTTTATGTTCTGTTTCTAACAGATTTTTTTAAAATCTCAACTCTGACTTTCATAAATAACTTATTTACAGTAAAACATTCCCATCTTGAAACCAGTTGATGAAGGTCTGATGATGATGCTTTGAATAATAAAATGGAGAAAATCTTAATATTTTCTGTTTCATTCAGAACGTCAACCTGGAAAACAAAAAAAATCAGAAATCAGTTTCTTGCTTATTTTTATTTGGAGGAAGTACAGCAGCTTTACAAAAAATCTAAAACTCAGTCAGAAAGGATGGAAATTATCTATAAACATTTATTTTCAAGTCTGGAAAAGATTTAGTAGGTTTCAGGTCTGGATTTTAACTAGGCCATTCCAATCCATGACTATGTTTTGGTGTAAAATAAAAAAAACTTTTTACCACACAAGCAAAATCGTCAAGTTTCAAATAAAGTGTTTATTCCTTATTAACTATGAACTAATCCACAGTACCTTAATTTGAAAAGATTTAACTCTTCACTGAAAAAATTAAAATCTGATTCGGCCAATTGTAACAAAAACTGAATTTATTTTGTTTCTTTTTTTTTGGCTTTTCCTCATCAATCATTCAAATGTTTTTACACAACTGTTAAACACAACTGCATAAAATAAAACTGCCAATCAGAACAATGAACACTTACCAAACAGAACGAGAGAAGAACACCAGAATTTAAATTTTGGGAGGAATTTGAACGGACGAGCCCCCAATTCATGTTACGACCCGTCTAGGGGTCCAGGTCATAACACGAGTGATCCATCCTCTTCAGATCTCGAGCGACCAAAACACACAAAGTTAAACATTTTATAACGTTTTTTTATTGTAAAAAGATGTATTTTTTTGTAGAGTGAAATATTATAGCTAGAGAAGCATATGACTTCAGAGTGAGCTAATGCCGAAAACAACAAACAAAAGGAAACTATCTGAATATTAACCGACTTACCTAATTAAAAGTAAAGAAACCAAATGACAAAAACTTACCTCCCTAACTAAGAAAAACAGGCTAATGAAACATAAACGGCAGCTCACTCCTACAACCTCCAGGACTTAACATGATGTTACAGACAAACAGTGAGGCCAGTTGAGATGAGCTGAGGATAGATGACAGGAAGTGCATCTTCAGTTTTTATATCCATCACCTCCAGGAGACCACCAATAGGAAATATCCGTCGTCTTCCGGGAACCAATCAGAGACAGGCACCTGCACGCTCATATTTGCATAATTAAATGACAGTCGTAACACCCCCATTCATAAGAATTAAACACACCCTTAAGTGTTTAATTCAAATAAGTTAAAAACTTCTAAGCATCTGCTAATACATTATCTTTACCCTTTCTTTAGTGGATCTGCAAGTTAAAATCTTGCAGCAGCAGAGACCAGCGCATCAGTCGACGGTTGGCATTTCGCATTTGGGAGACAAAACTAGCCGGTTGTGATCGGTAAACACTTGAAGAGGTTGCGCACTAGAACCAATATAAACTTCGAACTTCTGTAACGCAAGTAACAAAGCAAGAGCTTCCTTTTCAATTGTGCTGTAAATAAAGTTGATGTTTAAACTTCTTCGAAAAGTAGCAAACAGGATGCTCTATCTTTTATTCATCTTTTTGCATAAGCACAGCTCCAGCTTCACACAAACTTGCATCAATTTCAAATTTAAAGGGACGCCCAGCACTGGTGCACTGCATAACAATGCTTTGGCGGACTCACGCAACCTAACAAGATGAAAACCAAATAAAAGATCTCACAGAACTAACAAGTTCAGTCAATGGACTAACCACATCTGAAAACATTTTCAAAAAACCCGCGATAAAAACCCCCACACATTCCCAAAAAAATCACTCAGATTTTTTTTTCCCGTTTGCGCAATAGAATACATTTTTTTCTTCATCTATACAGATAACACGAGTTTGGTGACCAAGACTTAATCAGCACACAGTTTATCAAAATATATCACCAGGGCTTTAAATTCACTCTTATTTGAAACAGAACAATAACTGACCATTCCGCGCTTTGACAAACAGCTCCATAATGTTCAAACTCAGTTATATCTGCAGGAATAATTCGAGACGTCACAGTATGACATTTTTACAGTCATTCTAAACAAAGCCAGTTTCATCAACTGTAGCCACAAATGACCCAGACAAAACGATTTCACCCATTTTACGAGCTTGCGCGCGCAAATGCGCACGCAAGAAACACATCCGAAACAACTAATTCGGCAACAAGGGTAAACAAAACTGGGACAACAACTTCTGGTGGAGGAAACACTTTTCCGCCAACCAAGTGATTACCAAGAATTAAGGAAACTCCTTCGATTGGTAACCACGGACGCATGGCTACTTACGCGTCCCGAAACTAATGGTGAACACGGGTGCACCATATGCAAAAGGCTTTGGTTACTCATTTTTATTCCTCAGACAAAAATATCTGAACCACAATATGTTTGCTTAGACAAAGGCAGCACAGATTCCAACAAAAAAAGAGTGATAAGCACCTGTATAAGAATTGTGATTTAGACTTTATCCTTCCTCACCCGTCAAAGAAACAAAATCCCGCGAAATAAATGGCAAAACTGGATCAACATCAACTTTAGACTTTTGTTGAATATCACTGCGTCATTCGGCTGGGCAGCTGACTAGTAATGCCACATCTGCAGGAGTGTCTATGCTTTTAGCTTCTTTTTTCTTTAAGACTGGGCACGCAGCAATTAAATGTCCAGGTGCATGACAATAAAAGCAATCACGATTGTTTGCTTTTAAAGCAACTGATGGCACATTTCGACTCCCTGATCTTAAATATAAATTTTTTCGTTCGGATAAATTATCCTGAAACGAATTCTGTGAAGAAAACACATTTTTATGAGTCAAAATAAACTCGTCAGCCAAAATTGCTGCATTTGTTAAAGATGACGCTTTCTGTTCATTTAAATAAGTCACAATCATTTCAGGCAGACAAATTTTAAACTCTTCCAACAAAATTAACGATTTTAAATCATCAATAGTTTTGACTTTACACGAATGACACCACTTATCAAACAAAATATTCTTCTCTCGCGCAAACTCAACGAATGTCTGATTAGCAGTTTTATTAAGATTTCTAAATTTCTGACGATATGCTTCAGGGACAAGTTCGTAAGCTTGCAACACAGTTTTCTTAAGAGTCTCATAATTTAAACTCTGTTCAATAGACAAGCTTGAACACACTTCTTGGGCTTTTCCAACAAGCTTACACTGAAGTAAGAGAGACCTAAATTCCTTCGGCCAACTCAGAGCGGCGGCTATGCGCTGAAATGCGCCAAAATAAGAGTCGACTTCAGACTCACGAAATGGCGGAACCAATGTGATGTGCTTACTGATGTCAAACGTGACTAAAGCAGAAGAATCTGTGCTTGGTGGTTTTGGTGAAGGTGCAGGTGAAACATTTTGGAGCTCAGGAGCTCTGATTCGAAGATGCATGGCTTCCACTTCCAGCTGCTTGTTGCGATTCTCCACCTCCCTGATATGGAGTGTGAGACGCAGATCTTCCGACGACATACCTTCAAGAGGTTTAGAGTCTTTGCTGATTCCTGAGACTGCAGCAGGCACATCAACCAGTGCTGCGTCAACAACCGCTCCAAGTGCGCCGTCTCCGACTTCGGTCAATGCAGCCATTTACAACAATTTTTCACACAGCGTTTCCTTCAGTTCCGCTTTTCGCGTGTCACTGCAAGACACCTCAACATCATAATAGTCAGCCACAATAAGCAGATCCGCTTTTCTGCACTTTTCCAATTTTACCCAAGAAGGTGAACTCACAAAATCATCCAGAGAAAATCGCTTCTCCATAATTCTCCCTGTGCATAAAATAAAACTGCTAATCAGAACAATGAACACTTTCCAAACAGAACGAGAGAAGAACACCAGAATTTAAATTTTGGGAGGAATTTGATGGCTCGAAAGACTCACCCTGTAACTGCAGGAAAGAAGTTAGAAAGTTTTAAAATATATACATTTTGCATTTAACATGGAAACAATGTAAAATATATAAATATACTTAAATGCAGGTTTGTCTAACCCTACCCCTAACCCTAACCAAATTAGTTTCCACCAGTTAATTGGGGTTTTTACTGGTTATTCTGCCAGCTTGAATGTTTCACTGCAGTTTGTTTTGTTCCTGTTGCCTCCAAGCTGAACGTTGATCCCATGAATGTTTCCCCTCATGCAGAACCTGAGCAGTGACCTTTATGACCTTTATAGTACGAGAGCCAAGAGGTGGAGGACCGGCTGCTGGTGTCGCCGTCTCACGTTCTGATGTTTCTGACCAAACACTCCACCCTCTACATCAACATTTAAAACATGTTGCAGGAATGCAGCTTTCCTACTTTCCCACTTGATACAATCTAGTCTAAATGTTACATACAGGGATGCATCAATATGAAGATTTGGGCCGAAATATTGATGTATTGACTGATTACGGATATTTACACTTTCAAATTTGGTCTAAAATCATCAGGAATTTGGTCCATTCAAAGTGTTAATAATAAAAGTAAAAGCTTCTGCTGTTAATTGAGTAAAGTCTGTTTCCACTAAGAACTGTGAGCGTTTCCTCCAGTTTGTGTTTGACTTTAATCTCCTGCAGGAAACCAAACCTCCACGTCTCCACTGGAGTCGCTGTGGCAACGCCTTTCAAACATTAGGATAGTTGATTGAGAGCTGATTAGTTGTTTTATTTACTGGCAGAGCTGCATTCATCCATTCATCCATTCACTTTGTTTGTAACTTTATTTTTATATGTTTTTCTTACTGTGGCCCTAAAACTCTCATAGCAAATAATCCTGGACATAAATATATAATTTTCTACATATTTTTAATCTAGAAATTACAATCTTTACATATGTGGAAGACAAGATGTTAGCTGTGTTAGCTAATGTGGTTATAGTGATAACTATGATATGAATGGTGATTATCTTGACTGAGGCATGTTTGTTCCCCCATACATCAGGTTTAGCTTATATTAGTTTGCTAATTACATAATTAATAAATTAAACTAATGGTTGTTGCTCCAAAATAAAAAGTCTAATCAGTTTAATTTGTTAAAAAGAGCAATATAATTTAAAACATTTTTCAGATGAACAGATTACAGTATCATGAAGTTTCTATTCTTTATGTGACAGATTTCATCTGAATATCTTAATCCCAGTTTGTGACAATGGATCAATGCAGCTCTGCCACTAAATAAATCAACACAGTATCCTAAAGTTTGATACTTTAGGATACTTTCCTGCATGAGATTAAAGCCGAACACAAACTGGAGCTCACAGTTCTTAGAGGAAACAAACTTTACTCAATTAACAGCAGAAGTGTTTACTTTCATTATTTCAGCTGCAGTAGTGTGGTGATGTTAAGGATTATAGTTTAGTTTAGTTTTATGTTCATATTCTGACTGTATTCATAATCAGACCAGTTACTGCAGCAGGAATCAACCAGCTGCTCTTTTCTCTGGACTCTTTTCTCCTCTAATTATGTTTCATTCATAACATCCATGAAAACACAAGATTAAAAAACATAATGAAAGATTAGCACAAAGAAAACCAATCAAGTGTTAGCAGCATCATCATCATGAACCATCATGAAACATTTTCATCAGAACTTCTCTCCTTCCTCATGAAGATTTGATCAACCTGCCTCTGATTTTACAGCAAACCTTCTGCTGCTCTGAAAGAACAAACTACAAACCAGGTGAGTTTCACATAATCAGTTATTCAACATTTATAACACCTGGACTTTGAACTATGAGTTGTTCAGATAACCTCACTGAAGCAGAGAAGAAGTTATGTTGTCTCTACACAGGTGTGGCATTAGTCTGGTTATTCGGATCTGCTGTTGGGTTTAAATCTGTTCAGATGTTTTTCTTCAACTCTTTGGATGATTTGAACAAACTGTAAGTCTGTTTTATTTTCTACTTGAAGTTTATCTACAGAAACTTTCCTACTTGTTTTGGTTCTCTGATATTTAGAGAAAATGTTCACTTTTAAATTCAACACCAAGTTTAATTTGTCTGATGTTTGAAAGCTAAGCTACAGGATTATTAAATTATTGATCAATTGGAAGAGAAACAAGATGAACAGCTTGATGTTTACTTATTTTGTTGATCTGGAAAACAGTCGCATCTGTAAATAATTCATCATTCATCAAACTCATTTAGCATTTTATTTCCAGGAATCAAACTTCAGTCTCAACCAGTAACATCAAAAACAACAGTTTCTTGCTTCTTTGTTTAAAAATGAAATATTATTCTTAAAATGTCTTTGATTCAGTCAGATTATTAAATAGTTGAACTTTGATAAGATAATCTATTTGTAGAGTTTAATAATTAACTAAAATCCTTCCTGTTGTTCAGGTTGAATCAGTGAATGTAAATGTTGCTCCATGTCTCCATCTAGTGGTCTGATAGTAGAAGTGCAGCAGCTGATGGCAGCTTCCTCTGCCTCTCTGCTGTCTGACTGCATTCACCTGACACTGATATGAACCAGAGAAGAAGAGCCAATCAGAGGAGGAGCAGCTGATCTTTTTCCAGCACTAATGATGTAAAGGATGATCAGAGTTGATGTGCAGATGAATGATGTGTGTTTCCTCTGCAGGTGAAGCTAGAAAGTGTGTGTTAGCTGATGTGGATTCAGCAGCATGGATCAGTGTGAGGACAGAGAGGAGGGAGTCCCTCCCTCTAAAACCACTCTGTGTGGGGAAGATGAGAGCCAGAGCAAAGGTCAGAGGTGAGGTCACCATCTCTAACTGTCCACAGCCCTTTTCACACAGCGTTCACTATATCAGGCCAGAACAGACGTGGTGATGAAGCTGCTGCTGCTCCTCTTTGCTGATTAAGTTTTAATCATCATGTTTCTGTCAGGATCCATCAGAGACTCAAACCAGAACCAGAACCAGAACCCAGCTGTGTGTCCTTTAAGAGTGACATGTCAAACCCTCGTCTCATTAACTTTAAATCTCCTGGATCTCCACCATCAGAGAGGTGAGATGTTTCTAATTGCTGTAACTGTGGAAACTGAACCAGTATGAATATCCCAGTTTAATTAATTTATTTATTCATCAAAGTTACACATGAAATAGGGCGATCGCTAGTATGTCATTTCCTTTAACCTTAGCTTTGCATGTGTGTACTCTATGTGTGTATTTATGTATATACAAACATGCAAATAGCTAAGAGATGGAGGAAAACACAGAATTATTTAATCTCAACAGGATTTCCAGGATACATTATAAAAACTCTCATTATAACACCCAGTAGAGGACCGCACATTGACACACACCCACATATTACAATCAATCAATTTTATTTCTAAAGCACCTTCATATTGAAAGCAGCTCAAAGTGCTCAGTCCTCCTTATTATCCACATCATCTCAGATCTAATCATCAGAACATGATTGATGTCCCACATTATCCTGAAGACCTGTGTGGACAGAGCCTTCACTTCCACTGTCCCCAAGCTCTGGGACATTGTCTCCACCAGCATCAGATCTGATGACAATTTGGACTGTTTAAAGTGCAACAACAACTTTTTTACGTTTACTGACTGATTCTGGTTTTACTGGAATTCACAGACATGTGAATTATATCTGCAGTTTTTAGATGTGCCACAGGTACAAAACACTGAAATGAAATGGCTAAATTACCTCCTTGTGTAGATCAGTTCTCCAGAGCCTTGCTCATGACCTCATTATTCCATTCAGATGTGGTGCAGCAGAGGCACATCTAAAAGTTGCAGGACATCGGCTCTTAAGGACTGGAGTTGAGACTCCTGCTGTAATTCATCTTCCTGTTTCTAACTCCTTTGTATGGTGTTCATGTCATGCTCTGTTTTTCTGATTCAAGTATTTTTAGTGTGAAACTCTTGGTGATTTCCTCTGTGAAAACTGCTGGATGAATATTTTTTGACTTCCTAATTGTTCCTGGTTCCTCCACAGAGTGGACCAGCAGAGCTCAGATGTTCCCAATGGTCCATCTGTCCAGCAGCATCAAACACAGCTGGACTCCATATTTATGGTCTGTAAATGTACAACTACTTTTTTATAGGTTCTGTTCACATTCATCTCCATGCTGCACTTTGTAGACCAGAGGACTGTCAGTCTGTTCAACATCCATCTGGTGTTTGGCTCCATGATTTCAGTCCCATGTGTCCATCTATTATTCTGTTCCAGCTGCTGGAGGAAAACATTGTCACTTATGTGAAGAACGAGTTGAAGAATATTAAAAAGGTTCTGAGTCCAGATTACCTAGAATGCTCAGAGAGTCTGAGCGATGATGAGGTGTTAGAAGGTGAGGAAGAAGAGCAGAGGAGGAGCAGCAGAGAGGCAGTGATGAAGATCACACTGAACTTCCTGAGGAAGATGAAGCAGGAGGAGCTGGCTGACCATCTGCAGATTAGTAAGAGGATTTCTACAAAGATTTAACCAGATGGATAAATCAGACATTTACTGATGTGTAAAGAGATGGAATCACATTTACTCAAACCTCTTCAAAATATAATTTTTATTTGTTCCTGATATTACCTTTTATGTTTATTTAGAACATCTTGCTGCAGTTTGTCAACATCAACTTAAATCTGGTCTCAAGAAGAAGTTCCAGTCTGTGTTTGAGGGGATTGCTAAAGCAGGAAGTCCAACCCTTCTGAACCAGATCTACTCAGAGCTCTACATCACAGAGGGAAGGACTGGAGAGGTCAATGATGAACATGAGGTCAGACAGATTGAAACAGCATCCAGGAAACCACACAGACCAGAAACAACAATCAGACAAGAAGACATCTTTAAAGTCCCACCTGGAAGAGATCAACCAATCAGAACAGTGATGACAAAGGGAGTGGCTGGCATTGGGAAAACAGTCCTAACACAGAAGTTCACTCTGGACTGGGCTGAAGACAAAGCCCACCAGAACATCCAGTTCATATTTCCATTCACCTTCAGAGAGCTGAATGTGCTGAAAGAGAAAAAGTTCAGCTTGGTGGAACTTGTTCATCATTTCTTTAGTGAAACCAAAGAAATCTGCAGCTTTGAACACTTCCAGGTTCTGTTCATCTTTGATGGCTTGGATGAGAGTCGACTTCCACTGGACTTCCACAACAAGGAGATCCTGACTGATGCTACAGAGTCCACCTCAGTGGATGTTCTGCTGACAAACCTCATCAGGGGGAAACTGCTTCCCTCTGCTCTCCTCTGGATAACCACACGACCTGCAGCAGCCAATCAGATCCCTCCTCAGTGTGTTGGCATGGTGACAGAGGTCAGAGGGTTCAATGACCCTCAGAAGGAGGAGTACTTCAGGAAGAGATTCAGAGATGAGGAGCAGGCCAGCAGGATCATCTCCCACATGAAGACATCACGAAGCCTCCACATCATGTGCCACATCCCAGTCTTCTGCTGGATCACTGCTACAGTTCTGGAGATGTGTTGGAGACCAGAGAGGGAGGAGAGCTGCCCAGAACCCTGACTGACATGTACATCCACTTCCTGGTGGTTCAGACCAAAGTGAAGAAGGTCAAGTATGATGGAGGAGCTGAAACAGATCCACACTGGAGTCCAGAGAGCAGGAAGATGATTGAGTCTCTGGGAAAACTGGCTTTTGATCAGCTGCAGAAAGGAAACCTGATCTTCTATGAATCAGACCTGACAGAGTGTGGCATCGATATCAGAGCAGCCTCAGTGTACTCAGGAGTGTTCACACAGATCTTTAAAGAGGAGAGAGGTCTGTACCAGGACAAGGTGTTCTGCTTCGTCCATCTGAGTGTTCAGGAGTTTCTGGCTGCTCTTCATGTTCATCTGACCTTCATCAACTCTGGAGTCAACCTGATGGAAGAAACAGAAACATCTGAGAACCTTTCATTATTGAGAGATTCTAAACTAAATTCTCTCCACCAGAGTGCTGTTGTCCAGGCCTTACAGAGTCCAAATGGACACCTGGACTTGTTCCTCCGCTTCCTCCTGGGACTTTCACTGCAGTCCAATCAGAGACTCCTAAAAGGTCTGCTGACACAGACAGGAAGTAGCTCACAGACCAATCAAGACACAGTTCAATATATCAAGATGATAATCAGCGAGAATGTGTCTGCAGAGAAAAGCATCAATCTGTTCCACTGTCTGAATGAACTGAATGATCGTTCTCTAGTGAAGAAGATCCAACAGTCTCTGAGTTCAGGAAGTCTCTCCACAGATAAACTGTCTCCTGCTCAGTGGTCAGCTCTGGTTTTCATCTTAGTGTCATCAGGAAAAGATCTGGATGTGTTTGACCTGAAGAAATACTCTGCTTCAGAGAAGGCTCTACTGATCTTGCTGCCAGTGGTTAAAGCCTCCAACAAAGTTCTGTAAGGACACACATTGTTACTGCATTTATTTTTAATAAAAATCTGCTAATTATTAGGTAAATATTCATGTTTAAATTTATGTTTTGGTGCATCGTCTCTTCAAAGTGTCCCATTGGTGGTTGTGCAAAAAAGAAACTGACTTCCTGCAGCAGCTCAACATAGTGTTACATATTAAAGCATCAAAGCTCTTACACTGCTAAAGTTGAAACTGGATTAATTAGGTTAATTATGGAAATTTATAATACTCTTTCTAACATCTTTGTTACCTGTAGTTCAGTCCTTTATGGCTGGAGATTGAAAAACTATAAAATGAAGCAGTTCACAACAAATGCAAAGGTTGTGTAAAATAATGTTCTCTGTCCAATAAAAACATTGATGATCTGAAAGAACATACGTTTTGAAGAATTGTTTAATAACAGATTTTCCTCCCTGTCTCCTTCAAAATAAAGATATCATAAAGTTTTGAAAATATGACCTATTCTTCAATCAGTCCAAGGAGAATATTATTGACTGTAAAGTAAGAAACATTTGATGGATTAATAACAGATTTTCCTCCCTGTCTCCTCAGACTGAGTGGCTGTAACCTCTCAGAGAGAGAAGCTGTGAAGCTCTGTCCTCTCAGTTCTCAGCTCCCAGTCCTCCAGTCTCAGAGAACTGGACCTGAGTAACAACAAGCTGCAGGATTCAGGAGTGAAGCTTCTCTCTGCTGGACTGAAGAGTCCAAACTGCAACCTGGAAACTCTCAGGTAAAATGTTCTCAATCCTGGTGAAACCAGATTTCTGTTTATTACATTCCATCAGTTATGATGCAAACATTTTTTTTTTCAATAGTAGAATAAAATAATAATAGATGTCTTACTGTGAGATGGGTAACCAGGCTAAGTCTTGACACACAAACATGGCTGGTTTTCCTTTACTGCAGAGAGATGTTTAGAAAGGTTGGGCTAAACTGTTCAGATAAACTATATTAACAGATATTATTGGCATTGAAGAGATATGGCTGAAATCAATTGGAGATTCTAGAATAAATGGAAATGTTTCAGTAACAGGAAGAGGATGAGCAACATGTTAAAATAATCATCTATATTCAGAGAAACAAGTAGAGAAATTTATCTAGAATATATATAATATAAAGTCAGAACCTTCTTTAAATTCACTATTATACAGGCAACAATAAATCTTTTAAGTTAAACAGTCACTAATATCTAAAATAACACTTTGAAGAATTTGAATTAATATGAGTCACAAGAAGATTTTATTTCCTTTTGGGATCAATAAGCTGTTTTATAATTTTAATTTAAGTACAGCAGTAGAAAGAATATTAGAAATTAAAGAAGAGATAACTATTATAAACGTTACATTAGAATCAGTTTGAGTCCCACAGCGTGAATCTGATGACCAACTGCTGCCTTATTTTTTCGTCTCTCTTTTATTTTACCAAGATTGCCAGAACCACTTTGGGTCCAGATTTGGTTTAAAAACATCATCTGGTTTGGACTTTGTATTTAGTGAGTTCTGTGTGACGACATGAGGATGGTAACATATTGGTGGCCCATCCTATTGTAACTAAATGTTTAAAAATATATTTGGAGGTTCGTTCAATGTTGATATTCCATCCATCCATCCATCCATCCATCCATCCATCCACATCCATCCATCCATCCATCCATCCATCCATCCATCCATCCATCCATCCATCCATCCATCCATCCATCCATCCATCCATCCATCCATCCATTGTCTACCGTTTATCCGAGGTCGGGTCGCGGGGGTAGCAGCCTAAGAAGGGAGACCCAGACTTCCCTCTCCCCAGCCACTTCCTCCAGCTCCTCCGGGGGAATCCCGAGGTGTTCCCAAGCCAGCCGAGAGACGTAGTCCCTCCAGCGTGTCTTTGGTCTTCCCTGGGGCCTCCTCCGGTGGGACGTGCCCGAAACACCTCACCAGGGAGGCATTCAGGGGGCATCCTGACCAGATGCCCTAGCCACCTCAACTGGCTCCTCTCGATGTGGAGGAGCAGCGGCTCTACTCTGAGTCCCTCCCAGATGACTGAGCTTCTCATCCTATCTCTAAAGGAGAACCCAGCCACCCTACGGAGAAAACCCATTTCGGCCGCTTCGGCCGATCTCGTTCTTTCGGTCATGACCCAAATCTCGTGACCATAGATGAGGGTGGGAACGTAGATCAACCAGTAAACCGAGAGCTTCGCTTTTTAACTCAGCTCTCTCTTCACCACAATGGATCGGTACAGCGCCCGCTTCACGGCAGAACGCCGCACCAATCTGCCTGTCGATCTCCCGCTCCCTTCTTCCCTCATTCGTGAACAAGATCCCGAGATACTTGAACTCCTCCACTTGGGACAGGACATCTCCCTCGACTCCGAGAAGGCACTCTACCTTTTTCCGGCTCAAGACCATGGTCTTGGACTTGGAGGCACTGATCCTCATCCCGGCCGCTTCACACTCGGCTGTGAATCGCTCCAGCGAGAGCTTCAGATCACGACCCGATGAAGCCAATAGGACCACATCATCCACAAAAAGCAGAGATGCAATCCTAAGGCCACCAAAACGGATCCCCTCAACACCCTGGCTGCTCTAGAAATTCTGTCCATAAAAGTAATGAACAGAATCGGTGACAAAGGGCAGCCCTGGCGGAGTCCAACTCTCACCGGGAACGAGCCTGACTTATTGCCAGCAATGCAGACCAGACTCTGACACCGGTCATACAGGGATCTGAAAGGGATATCTGAAACCCATATGAAAGGGACCGGTACCCCATACTCCCGGAGAACCCCCCACAGGGCACCTCGAGGGACACGGTCGAACGCCTTCTCCAAATCCACAAAGCTCATATAGACTGGTTGGGTGAAGTCCAGAACCCTCCTGGACCCTGCTGAGGGTGTAGAGCTGGTCCAGTGTTCCACGACCAGGACGAAAACCACACTGCTCTTCCAAAATCCGAGGTTCGACTATCCGACAGACCCTCCTCTCCAGAACCCCCGAATAGATTTATGAATGTAATTTTAATTGTGGTGATTCTGAAAGTGTTTTCCATGCGATTAGTGACCTTTAGTGTCAGGTTGGTGTTTTCAGATCTTTTTAATTTAAATACAGGGTTAAATTTCCCTGTATTTAATGTTTGGCTAGTGCTTGTTTTTGTCACTTGCTGCTCAGTTTTCCATCTCTGTATCCAACAATTAAACATGTAAAGATGAAACTGTAGATTTGCTCTTTTTGATTCAAGCTGCTGTTTTCCCTCAAACCAGCTCTGATGCTGATCCTCAAACTGAGCCTGATGCTGATCTTCAGCCCAGCCTTGATTCTCAGGCTTCATTGGACTCTTTCTGTTAAAACTGACATGGATTCATTTTGTTCATAGAGGAATTTAATATTTCTCTTGCCAGCCTCCTTGTTGCCTGTAGTTCAGTCCTTCATGGCTGGAGACCCAAATATAGACTGAACCAGTTCACAAAAAAAGGCAACATGATATATATAAAACAGTTCATTAAATCAGTAAAGAGGAACATTGTTGACTGGAAAAAAGACAAACATTTTAATAAATTGTTTAATAACAGATTTTCCTCTCTGTCTCCTCAGACTGAGTGGCTGTAACCTCTCAGAGAGAAGCTGTGAAGCTCTGTCCTCAGTTCTCAGCTCCCAGTCCTCCAGTCTCAGAGAATTAATAATGGATGTCTGACTGTGACATGGTTAACCAGGCTAAATCTAAATAATAATGGCTAATTTTCATTTAGTCCAGGCTGAAAGAACCAAAAGATATTTATTAAGAAAAGTGGAGGTTTCGACTGAAAATCTAAGTTCTTGACAAATTGCTGCATCCTAGTTGAACAAAGGAGCATCAATGCAGATCTTTACAACCAGCAGCTGTCAGAATTTCTTAAGCATCATTACCTACAAAAGAATACATTCTTTTGTACAGTTTTATTATTTCATATTATTAATAGGTTAAGCAGTAGTTTCTTGAGTATTTTCCTCTTGTGAAAATATCCATTTCAGTCCTTGGTCTCTACCTCCATGTTCTCATTTTCTCATCATGTGATGAATTGTGTGTCTGCAGCTTATCAGGCTGTTTGGTCTCAGAGGAAGGCTGTGCTTCTCTGGCCTCAGCTCTGACCTCCAACCCCTCCCATCTGAAAGAGTTGGACCTGAGCTACAATCATCCAGGAGACTCAGGAGTGAAGCTGCTGTCGGCTGGACTGAAGGATCCACACTGGAGACTGGAAGCTCTCAGGTATGGAGGAACCTGCTGCAGGAGCAGAGAAGGTCTGATAGAGGAGGAAGAGGGAGAAATGTCTTTAGTCAGTCTGCTGGCAAACATTTAGTTTGAAGCTAAATGTTTAATTTGATAATTAAATATTAGACGCCTCATCTGGAGGCAGAGATCATCACCCAGTTTTCTGGAATATTCTCCAGACTAAGAACGGATCATAAGGAAAATTAAACAGTAAAATGGTTTAATAGTTTAATACGGACTCTGACTAAATTAATAAAATAAGTTCAGTTAGATTTCCATGATGATCATCAATTTGGTTCATAGAGGGATTTATTATTCCTCTATATTAAATCAAATCTAATATTTAAAACAATTTGATGGAGCTCCAGAACAATCAGTAGAGTGATGATGTCATTTCCTCTCAGAGCAGCTTGGAAATCTGAGAGGAAAGATGCAAACAAAGACTCTCTGGACTGTTGGATCTGCTGGTTCTGGTTCCAGATGCTCCTTGGACACTTTCACAAGCCATTACTGCAGCTGCTGGATTCAGGATGCTGCTTCTTCTTCTTGGGCTCATTGTAAATGTGTGCAGCGCCACCTGGTGGTGCTGGTTGGTAGAGGAAGTGCTGAAAGGTTGGAGGTGTTTGTCAGAGGTGTGTGATGATGGAAGCCTCTCCCTGGTTTGTGAGTCTGAGCTCAGAGATCAAATCTTTGATTCTTGTTGAATCTTTGTTGAATGTGATGCAGCTTCTCCTTTTTAATGTTTGTATTTCTGGATATTACAGTGAGGCCACAGCAGGTTTTCAGCAGCAGGGCTGTTTAGTGTTTCATTCCTTCATCTGTGTGTGGGAGTGTGGATGGATCAGGTATCCAGGTGTTGATCAGAGTTTAGATTGATTGTATTTTAATGCTGATTATTGAATCAGGTGGAGCTTCCAGAAATGTTTCCTTAGTTTCCTGATGTCCTTTTAGGCTTCAGTGAGTTTCTTCAGGTTGTTACTGAGGGATTTCCTTTCTCCTCTCTGTTGGAGCTTTTCCTGTGTTTGGAGAAATGAGTTGTGCTGCAGCAGCACCAACTGTCCTTCCTACATCCTCTGCAGTTTGCAATCCAGATGTTGGACGGTTCCTGTCTCAGTGGAGGACAATGTGTGTCTGAGAGACATGTAATGTCCAGGTTTGCTGCTGAAAGAGACTGATGGTCTGACCCCCCTCCTCCTTTCAGGGTGGCCTGCTGGAGGCCGATTCTTGACTCCAGGTCCGTGGAAATGTAAGTGTGTTTTTCATCTGATTCATGACAACAAAGCAGTTCACATTCAACCATCTTCAAACTGTCACATCACTCATTCAGGAGTCAAAGTGTCAATAAATGATCAATAACTGCAGCTGGATTGTGTTTGTTCTCCATCAGATTCCTGTCAACTCACCATCGACACAAACACAGTGACCAGAAGACTCAAACTGTCTGAAGACAACAGGAAGGTGACATGTGTGAAGGAGTTTCAGTCATATCCTGATCATCCAGACAGATTTAATGATTTTTCTCAGTTGCTGTGTAGAACTGGTCTGACTGGTCGCTGTTACTGGGAGGTTGAGTGGAGAGGAGATGTTAATATATCAGTCACTTACAGAAGAATCAGGAGGAAAGGATTCAGTGGAGACTGTGTGTTTGGATATAATGATCATTCCTGGAGTCTGATCTGCTCTGATCGTCATGGTTTCTCTGTCTGTCACAATAACATAGAAACTCATCTCTCCTCCTCTGTCTCTAACAGAGTAGCAGTGTATGTGGACTGTCCTGCTGGCATTCTGTCCTTCTACAGAGTCTCCTCTGACTCACTGATCCTCCTCCACACCTTCAACACCACATTCACTGAACCTCTGATTCCTGGATTTACAGTCTGGTGGTCCAGTTCTTGTTCTTCAGTGTTTCTGAGCTGATTTGAGTCTAAAGAGTCTAAAGTTTTTCCTCCTGTCAGAGAAACTCTCTCACTGTTGAACAGATAGTTCAGTCTCTACAATCTATTTCTTGAGGAAACTCCAACAAGATTCCTTGGAAATTTCTTCTTCTTCCTGTCCTTTAAAGATGGAAACTGGGATTATTCCAGGATTATTCCAGGTTGTTTTTCTGTTTCCATTCAAAGATTCTTTTAATTTAATGCAGTTTTTCTCTATGTTCTTTAATTCATCTTGGATTCAAATCTTAAATGATCCTTTGTATTTTTGCTGCAGTTAAACTTCATGTATTTAGTGAACAATAAAACTTTTTCTTCTGTATTTTATTCATTTGCTTTTGTTTTTGTTCTGTTTCTGTTTAAATGTCAATAAGAGATTTTTTAAATCTCAACTCTGACTTTCATAAATAACTTATTTACAGTAAAATATTCCCATCTTGAAACCAGTTGATGAAGGTCTGATGATGATGCTTTGAATCATAAAATGGAGAAAATCTTAATATTTTCTGTTTCATTCAGAACGTCAACCTGGAAAACAAAAAATCAGAAATCAGTTTCTTGCTTATTTTTATTTGGAGGAAGTACAGCAGCTTTACAAAAAATAAAACTCAGTCAGAAAGGATGGAAATTATCTATAAACATTTAATTTCAAGTCTGGAAAAAGATTTAGAAGGTTTCAGGTCTGGACTTTGACTAGGCCATTCCAATCCATGACTATGTTTTGGTGTAAAATAAAAAAAACTTTTTATCACACAAGCAAAATCGTCAAGTTTCAAACAAAGTGTTTCTTCCTTATTAACTATGAACTAATCCGCAGTACCTTAATTTAAAATAATTAAACTGTCTTAACTGAAAAATAAAAATCAGATTTGGCCAATTGTAACAAAAACAGAATTTATTTTGCTTCTTTTATTTTGGCTTTTCCTCATCAATCATTCAAATGTTTTTACACAGCAGAAAAATATTCATCATGTTTCAAATCAGATAATCACGTTTTATAAATTTGCTTACAATACATTTAAATTAAATTTTTTAGATTAATATGAAGAAATTAAATGAGAAATTTCATCTTTGTTTGAATTAACAAAATCTGAGGATTTGCATGATTAAATAACAAAACCAAAAGTAATTTTGGATATATAAATTTAAGCCCAAGAAAAGCACAAAACCAAAAATATGAATATAAAAAGATTTAATAATAAAGGATTAAAATGTTTCCTGTGTTTATCAGAGTTTAATAAATGAGTCAGAAGCTTATTGGGGTGCAGAAAATTTAATTTTGAGTAAAAATGAAGTTGCATTTTTCTTTTGTAAGATTTTAAATAGTTTGATAATTTTGCTTAATCTGCATCAACTATGTGAAAGAAAATATTACAGATATAAAGCATTTTGTTACAATCTAACAATCATCATTCCCTTCAAGAAATATTATCAGATCATCTGGGACTTTTTGGCACAAAAAATGTTTTATTTTTCTTCTGAGAATTAAAAACTAAATCAAGCTGGATCATCAGTTTAGGTGTTAAAATGCTTCATGTTTTAAATCTCTGATTTTCCTCCACATTTTTTCCTGCTGTTGGGTTTTAATAACTTTAGCAAAACGTTTCAGGAAGCAGAACGGAGCAGAAAGCTGAGAGAAGTGGAGGCAGCGTGGAGCCGCTTGGTGGCAAATAAAAAGAGAAACCCAATAAAAGCCACCAAGAAAAGAGAGTTTCCTCTGTTAAGAATTAGAGGAATAACTTGATTTAGCTAATTGATTTTCTCTGTTGTCCCGGATTCTTGAGTCTAACTGTGCACAGGGAGAAAGAGCAATCATACGACATCAGACTTCAGATATCTAGAGCTTTATACAGAATGTTACAATAAGCATCTCACCCAGATTATCAAAAGTCCAAGACGTGACAAAACAGAAATAACTGCACGAGTTGAAAGAATGAAAGAACAAAAGAAAGAAAGAAAGAAAGAAAGATTTTTTTTATTCTTACCAATACATTTATTATAACAATAAATATATACAATTCACCACATTTTGTCTCACATCAATAAAAGAAACACATTATGATAATATTTTGTTATAGATTAATTCATTGCTCTCTGAAATGATGCACAGTACGTTGTCACATCCCCACAAGTCCAAAAACCTCTGTAAATTCCCGGTGGCTCTGTGGAAAGCAAACTCCAACCTCAAACCTCGCCTTGATGTTTACTTTCCACAGAGCCACAGCATCCAGTTGAGGTCCAGCCTGCAGTTTGTCTCGCCGAGTGATGTAGACAGCTAGTTTAGCTTCAGCTAATAAATAATTTAAAAGGCGTGATTTAAAACTAGTAGCCTTGCTGTGATGTACACCATTAATGAATACTGAATTGGTAAAAAGCATTTTAAAAAGACTAAAAATGGTGGATAAAAAACTAAAAAATCCAGTTAAACATGCACAATCTATAAAAACATGAAAAACACTCTCTGACAAACTGCAAAAGGGACACTCATTTACAAAACGAGGACTGATGACCGATAAAAATGCATTTGTGGCGATAGCGCCGTGGAGTATTCTCCACTGGAGGTCACCAGTCCTTTTTTTAATTGGCGGTTTGTATAGAGTCCTCCAGTGTATCGGTTGTCCTTTCAGTTTCTC